GACCTCAAAACCAAGTCTTCTTAACAACTCAACAATCTCTAATTCAAACCTTCTCCCCTTTTCAACTGATGATGCCTAATCATTGTGTATTCGAAAGTACGTCCACATTGGTTCAAACGAATCAAAAGCGCATCATGACCAACTGTTTCGACAGTTGAACGTTCTTCTTTGGTTTCTAATGTTCCCGCAATCGGTTTTGCCCTGGGAATAAATAGCAAATTAGGTACACGCTTGATTATTATGAAACAGATACTCATATTGTTGTTTACATAGGGTAAAACCGACAGAGGAGTAGATATACATACGCACTTCAACGGGATAGACTTTATTTTTCAGTGCAAAAAACTGGAAATCCCCAATAGGTAGTATAATATAGGTGTTGCATAAGATTATAAGCATTTGTAACAATACTAAAAGTTATTGGTTATCAGGTCTCTCCATCATTAGAGAATTGGACGGGTTTCTTACCCAACCCGAGAATAGCGAGGCTATCGGGATTGTAGTGATCCCCAACGATTCAAGATTTAGCCTTTACGCTATTGAAAGGGTGATCACGTCCATTTTCTGATAATATTAACCAACAAAGCTCATCTTCCAACTTATATCCTAAATACAGTTCTTGATCGGTTATAAGGAGAACCTTTTCAATTCCGTTTTTTATATTAATGAAGGTTTAATAATAAATAAACTTAATTATGATTTATTGACGAAAGTGGTTTTTGTGTATAACGAAGTTACCTAACCAAAGTTGGCAAATTAACTTTAGATCAATGCTTTATTCTGCATAGTTGCGCAACTTTCTATAATGTATTACTCTATATTTTGTTATGTAGTCTATTTTTATTTTTTGCTGTACAAGTAAAGCCGGTCCTGGTGGTTGATTTTGCATACATAATCGTGTTTACTTTTGCGTGTGTATTTCGTTATTGATATTTTCTCTTGGCAAAAGTGATTGACAAGTTCCTGACCAATGGTCAGGATGTTATGTGATTTTTTTATTTAAATAAAAACATTAACTAATAAAAACATTTTTCAAGACGTGTACAATATTCTTTTTCCAAACAATTCTAATAAAGATATATAAATTACTAACAATATGCAGACTCAAAGAAATGAATCTAAAGATTTATCTGAAACAGATTCATTGAAGTTGGAAAATGCTAGGCTAATGACTAGAATTGTAGAATTAGAACCAATAGTAAAAGAAAAAAATGCGTTTGAGGCTGAGCTAAAACAGATTATGAAGGAAAATGTCAAATGTGAAACTGAGAATATTAATCTTAAGGCAGAACTAGAGAAAAATAAAAAAGATATCGCCAATCTTTCAGCTGAAAACTCTGAGCTTAAAACTCAAGTAGCAAAATTAAGTCGTGATTTCGAGAAAATCAAATCAAAAGAAATAACCACGAATTATCCAGAGAAATTGCAAATCTCCTCATTGATTAATCAAGTATGAGACGGCAATTGTTTCTACTTGAATTCTGATGATAATCCTGAAAAGATAGACTTACGATATAATAGTACTCCTGTGCAACCCGAAAATGTGTACCAGGTTGCGCTCCGGATGATCATGTGACAGTCCGGAATGAATGTCTGGAAAAATTTTT